GAGTCAGAATTGATTTGATGGCAATGGGACTGAGTTTGGGGGTGTCTGTTAATATTGTGTTCATAGAATCCTTCGCTATCACAACTTGAATTTTTCTTTGTTTGGGAAACGTCACGTTTGTTTCCCCACTGTGGTTGTCTACTTCTAGGGCCTCGCACCTTCCACAATAAGATCTCACCTTGCCTTCGCCAGCGGTCCTCGAAATCTTCACTTCTCAACCTTCGTGCTTCCTTCCTTTTGTCGCAGTTCCTCTGCATTCAAGAGCAGGTTGCCCAGTCCCGTCTGACGTTTATTTCAGCCTTGTCTCTCTCCCCCGACCTGTGCTTGCCTCATGTGGGGTCTCCTGGTGGCACCCCACAGCTCGCCGGTTCTTGGTCTTAGTGCCTCACGCCATCGCACACATTCTCGAGTTGGTGAGGTGTGACAAGACACGGGAAGAGATGAACTGCGAGGGTGGAGTTCCTTGTGTGTTGTAGCACCCATTTAACTTCAGATTCATGTCATTCAACTTTTCATCATGCTCGTGTTGAACACAGGAGCCTAGTGGCGGGCACCGTCTTTTTTTTATTATTATACTTTTATTGGGGGTTCTTACAGCTCTTATCACAATCCATACATTCATCCAGGGTGTCAAGCGCATTTGCACATATGTTGCCATCATCATTTTCAAAGCATTCTCTTCCCACTTGGGCCCCTGATATCAGCTCCCCAGTTCTTTCCCCTCCCTCCCCTGCCCGCCCTCCCTCACAAACCCTTGATAAGTTATAGATGATTATTTTCATATCCTACATTGTTGTTGTGTTTCAAGAGCTCAGCTTCTCGCTGAGAAGTCGGCGGGTCTCCTTCCAGGGAGCAAGATGCTACTCTCTGTTCCCGTGAGATGGCAGCCTTGGGAAGTCGCCGGGGTGGCTCCACTCTGTCCTCGGTCACAAGAGCTGGAATGGTCTCAGCAGCAGTCAACTTGGCTTTGGTGTATAAGCCGTGATGTGTGAGATACACTAGCCCCCATCCCCCGTGCTGTGCATGAGGTTTGCAGCGACTACTTCCTCCCAAGTGGACAGCTGCTACCTTTCCCACGTAGCAGGGTCCTCCTTCAGAGGGATGTGCCCTTCCCCTCCTTCAAGGGGTTGTGCGTCGGTCGACTGGCTCAGGTCTGGGGACTGATGGAGGGGTCTTGACTGTCTGTTCTGGTGATTTGAGTTGAACTGCTGTTTACTGGATCTAGCACTCTTCTGCTTGTACAGGTCACGTAAATATTCTGTACGTTTCCCATGTTTTTCACTCCTAGGGGCACCGTGGCCAAGTAGCCAATGCCCTAAGTCCAACCTGCTTACTCTGGACACCTCGCTGCCCATTATGATAACCACGCCCACCCCATCTCTGTTGATTCAGTGCTGACACTTGCCCCCTACCACCACGGGGCCCAATCAGCCCCACTGTGGGCAAACGTCAGAGTTCCCTTGAGGCAGTGCCCACTGCTAGTCCTGGCGCACATAAAATAGCAATGACAGGAGTCTTCAGAAACGCTGGGCCACTTCACAAACTTGTTCCTGATGGTTGTGGGGAAGGTATGTCCTTGGGACACTCCTTTTTGGGTCTGTGGGATTCTGATAGATCCTCCCCAACGTACCAATTTCCCTAAGCTTTTGGATGCTTTGTCTACAGCAGTGGTTCTCAACCTTCCTCATGCCGCCACCCTTTCATACAGGTCCTCATGTGGTGGTGACCCCCCAACCATAACATTATTTTCGTTGCTACTTCATCACTATCATTTTGCTACTGTGATGAATCGTCATGTAAATATCTGATATGCAGGACGTATTCTCATTGTTACAAATGGAGCATAATTAAACATAATGAAAGCATAGTGATTAATCACAAAACAATACATAATTATATAGTGTGACATATTTATGTGTTTTCCGATGCTCTTGAGTGACCCCTGTGAAACGGTCATTCGACCTCCAAGGGGGTCACAACCCACAGGTTGAGAACCGCTGTTCTATAGTGTACCAAGGTAGGCCAGGTACCTCAAGTTAGTCTAAGCGAGGCCATCTGGCAGCCCATGCTCCAGTGACCCAAACAAACAAGCTATTAGATCCTCTTTTGACCTCTCTTGCTGAGACATTGAAAGAAGAATCTATGCTTAGAGGCCCCATGTCAGGGAAGACAGACTGATCTAATGTTACATTCCTTGCACCTGTATCCCACACCCTTAGTAACCATTCCCAGGGATATCCCCCAGGCTTCTGCTTGTATGTATTCAAAAACTCGAGCAGATCTTCCAGAGTATAGCCCACTCCTTCCTGAGTCATTATCTGAACCTCACCTTTCAGAACTTTCTGAGACGTATTTTACTTGCACGTCTATAATGGTTGGGGGCCGGTGGGTGGGGGGCTCAGCAATATCTTGTAAGGCATCTCCCCCGGGCAATGCTCCAGGTGCAGCCCCACCTGGCATCTCAGCTTGACCGGGTTGGTTGTTCTGCTCAGGTGTGGGTTGTTTTACTGATAGTGGATTAACCCCCTCAGGTGGGAGGGTGGATCTATTGACTGGGGTGGCTCAATTGACTCCAGGGCAGGGGTCCTCAAACTTTTTAAACAGGGGGCCAGTTCACTGTTGCTCAGACCCATTGGAGGGCCGGACTATAGTTTTTAAAAGAAAACTATGAACAAATTCCTATGCACACTGCACATATCTTATTTTGAAGTAGAAAAAACCAAACAGGGCAAAAACACCTCGTGGGCTGGATCACTGTCCTCAGTGGGCCGCATGTAGCCCGCGGGAGTTTGAGGACGCCTGCTCTAGGGGCTTAATATCCTCCTCTTCTGGATCATCAACCCATATGTTCCCATCTCATGTTTTAGAATCCCAGTTCTCTCCAATTAATGCCCTCACTTTAGTACCAGACACTGTTCTAGACTTGCAAGTCAGCTGATGCTGTAATGCAGCAACTGGCGTGAGACTCTGGATGTGTTTTTCGGCAATGTCAGCTCTATTACTAGTGGAGAGAGGACACTCCTTTGTGGCACATGCAGAAGTTTTTAGGTCTGTCATTCGGCATTTGAGACGTGCTTCTGAGGGTCTGGGATGATCCCTTTCCTTGATCACATTTTCTATTGTAAGGAGCCAACCAGCTTCCCTGTACTTCTCATCCTGACAAAACTGCTGGAAAATATCAAACACAGGATCACCCAGAGCCTCTCTTCTCACCAGCACTTCATCTATTGGTGGTGATACTGCGGATATTGGCTCTGGGACTTCCCACCATGGATTAGTAATAGTGGCAGACTTATCCATGTCTTTAGGGGTAGAGGCCGCATGCTCAGTGCTGTTAGGCCTAATCAGGCTGGAGAAGCAATGCAAGAAGCCATATTGATGATCAGGTTTCTCTAGAACCACTTCTGGTACCAATTGTGTTAGGCAGGGTTCTCTAGAGAAACAAAACCAGGACATTTATGATTATATGAAAGAGAATAGATTTACACAGAGAGAAGGAATATAACAGCTAATTAGTCCGCACAGCAGTACAGAGGGCTCAGTTTAAATCACTTTCGTGGAACAGTTAATGTTATGAAAGTCTTTTGACTCGTGAGTTGCCGGTCCAAGGTCAGGGAAGCAGACAGTGGAGTCCTCCCCCGGGCAAGGCAGGCAGAATCAGCCCTCAGGCAGCAAACTTCAGGGTGGGTCAGCAACAGTCAGTAGCTTGGGAGCTTAGCAAAGAAGGCCGATGGGATATCAAACTCAAGCAATGCAAGGTGACAGGATCCACCAACCTCAAGCTCAAGCAATGTACACACCAGCAGCATGGAGAAGCAGGTCTTGAAGGAGCCTCAAGCTCTAATAACATGATCCACAGGTTGGCTGGGCCTGCAGGTGGTGTAGCACACAGGTTGAGGCAGAGAACGGGCTAGCTCAAGCAGCAGCATGCTGGTCTGATCATCAGAGGGCAAGCGAGGTGGGGGTAGGCCTTGTAGAGCCATTTATCTCTTTACCTTCCAATCAAACTGCGACCTGATAAATCCCACATGTTCCTATTGGCCAGGTTGGCACAATAAACCTATCACAACCAGCACCCTCCTCAGAGCCCCACTGAGATGAAGAGTTTCAATTAGAGGGGCGGGAGCAGTAGGAGACGTAGGTCAAGAAGGGTGTTGAAATGGCAGGGCCCTCACGGCTTAAACGGCCTGTCTGTGTGCGCCCGTGTGAGCTACAGGGCTCATTTTTGCACAGGAGCCGTGCCAGTTTCATTTGTGCCCGCTGGTTCCTTCCCACGGAGGCATTCACTTCCCCATGGGCCCTGAGTGCTCGGGCCTGCCTCTCGGCCTCTGATTTGTCACCGGGCAATCCATCCAGATGTACTGTGAGACCTTCCCTTTGGGTCACACTTGTATTAAAAGCATCACTCTCGGCGTAATAGTGAGTGAGTGCCCATGCTGGTCGTCGGGGACTGCTCTTCTGGCAGCTTCTGAAGGGCCTCCCTGTTGGTAGATGTGAGGTGAGTCCCTACCTTCAGGTCAATTTTCTTCCTCCTCATCCTCACTCAGGGGCAGAGACCCCGAACCCCACAGTGGTTCCCTGCCCATTCCCCAGACCTGGAAACGGAGTCCCAGGGAACGAGTGAGACACAGAGACTTGTCCCAAGGGCCCAGAATCCCCCGGGACCACTGACATACAGCACGACTTTCTTTCCAAGGAGGTCAGCATGGTTTCCAGGTGTCCCCTCAGCCTGGGCCCCAAGCCGGTTGCCAAGGACCAGCAGTAGCACCTGGCCTGCAGGCAAGATTGAGTCCCCTTGGACCGTGTCACCTGAGAGGCAGGGTTCAAGCCTCAGCTGGGCCACCTGCCGGCTGCATGACAAGACCCTTGAGTGGTGGCGGCCTCAGCTTCCTCTTTCAGACCTGGGTCAGGGGTGGGCCTGTCTGGGGTGGGCGTGGGTGTCGGAAGTCAGTGGTCAGCTGGGAGTTGACCGCATGATCATGCTCCCTTGTTGCTCGCAGGTCGCTGGACCATGTGGGATGGAGACCGGCCCGCCAGGGACCAGCCTGCTCCAGGCCCCCCTGGCACCCCCAGCGGGCAGGCCTCACCTCGCCTGACCCTGGGCCCCATCCTTCTGCCTGGGGAGCAGGGCCTGGCCCCTGCCATGCTCCTGAAGGCTCTGCCCATCCCACTCTACCACATGGTGTCCCCAGGGGCCCCTCAGCCTCGAGCAGCCCTGGGGCCCAGCGGCCTGGACGGGGCCAGCCTGCCCTTCATCCTCAGCCCTCTGCTGCGGCCGGAGGGGCCTGGGCCAGTGCAGGTGGGGAAGGCACCAGCCCCGGTGCTGACGGTGAGCTTGGTCGGGGCCCTGCCGGTGCTGTCACCTGGACCAGGGCCCTCGCTTGGCAGCCCTGGCAGGGTGCGGAGCGCAGGCCGGTACCTGTGTCCACACTGTGGCCGTGACTGCCTGAAGCCCAGTGTCCTGGAGAAGCACATCCGGTCGCACACGGGCGAGCGCCCCTTCCCCTGTGCTACCTGCGGCATCGCCTTCAAGACGCAGAGCAACCTGTACAAGCACCGGCGCACCCAGACGCACCTCAACAACGCGCGCCGCCCCTCCGAGTCGGATGAGGCCGACCGGGCCGATAGCCAGGACCCCAAATCGGGACGCGCGTCTGCCGACGGGGAGGCGCTGCGGAAGCTGCCAGATGAGCAGTCCCCGACGGCCAGCGCGCCCTGTCCCCTGCAGCGGCAGCAGGCCAGCACCCGGGAGAAGGGCTGGGAGGGCCGCCTGCGCAAGTGCGAGAGCTCGGACTCCGGCTACCTGTCCCGCTCGGACAGCGCCGAGCAGCCCCCCGCGCCCACCAGCCCCCTGCGCAGCCAGTCTGAGGCGGGGTCTTCCGAGGCGGGGTCTTCCGAGCCGGGGCCCGCGGGCGAGCTGGGGAAGAGGCAGCTGGAGGAGCGCATCGCCCGGCTCATCTCGCACAACCAGGCGGTGATGGACGACGCGCAGCTGGACACGGTGCGGCCGCGCAAGACCGTGCTGTCCAAGCAGGGCAGCATCGACCTGCCCATGCCCTACACCTACCGGGACTCCTTCCACTTCGACATGCGCGCGCTGGAGCCCGGCCGCAGGCGCCTGGGCCCCCTTGGACCCGCCGGGGCCCCCTGCACCCCGCCCGACAAAGCTAGACCCCTGTCCTTCCACTCTGTGCCCACCCAGCTCTCCACCACTGCGCAGTGCGTGTCTGTCACCAGGAGCAACTCACTGCCCTTCCTCGAGGGCACCCACACATGGCGGGAGTGGGCACCTGACCCCCAGGAGGCAGGCCCCCACAGGCAGCGCCTGGGTGGCCCCAGGCCCTCCCCTGCTCGCCTGGACCGCAGCGCGGGTCCAGTCTTGTCGGCTGTCCCCAGCAGTCACCACCGCGCCCTGGTCCGGCAGGCTGCCGTGGAGGACCTGCCCGGCATGCCCTCAGGGGAGACCACAGTCCCTACAGAGGTCCCCCCGAGGTCCACCGCAGGAGACGGGGCAGTCAGCAGGGGCCGGGCGACCGGGAAGAGACTTGGGCAGCGGAGGCTGAAGCTCTTCTCCCAGGAGAAGTGGCAGGTGTACGGGGATGAGACCTTCCGAAGAATCTACCGGAAAGGCAAAGCTGGGCACTGCAGAGGACAGCAGGCTGGGGAGGACCCCTCAGCCCAGGCAGAGCCTGCTCGGGCAGAGACCTCGAGGACCCCCGTGGGTGGGGACACGAAGACCACCCTGTGTGGGGACACGAAGACTCCAGGTTGTGGAGACATGAGGACCCCGGTCAGTGCGGATGTTGTCTCTCCCGCAGACGTGACTTCTGGGTCTGAGCTGGGGCCCCAGGGGGGCCGGGGGGCCGAGTCCTGCAGGGCCCCATCAGGAGGCCACGAGGAACACAGGCACAGTGAGGCTTCAGAGTCCCCCGCCCTCGGTGGCGGAGACACCTCCCCTTTGGGCCTTGAGAACCCTCACCTCTCTCTAAGCCGGAGGCTGGGGTCACGGACAGAGCTGCTCCTCGATCCTGGAGACTGTGGGGAGCCCCAGCCGGGAGTCAGCTGCAGTGCAGAGGGAGCAACGGCCCCTTTGCGGAGAACTCCGGGACTGGCCAGTGGTAGCCCTGGGCAGGCCCTGGCTGTGGAGCACCAGCTCCCCTCCGAGAGGAAGAAGCTTAAGACGGAGGGTCCTGGGGGCCGGGAAGAGAGAGCAGAGACCCTAGAGGGTTCCACACAGGCCGCCTGCCCCCCTGCCTGGGCCTGCGGCAGTGACCCTGCAGAGCGGCCCAGGGGGTCACTGCTGAGTGCAGACCCTAGGGACTGTGGATTGGCACCCATGGGCATCTCTTCAGCTTCATCCTTGGCTGCCCCAAGACCACCTGGGCCCAGGCCCAAGGTACCTCCATTCCTTCCTGTAGCCATGTCCCCCGAGTGTCGCCCCCAGAGCCCCCACAATGCCTTTACCCCAAAGTACCTCCTCAGGCTACCTCAGGGAGACCCCCCCTTGGAGCTGCCAGCCAAGACGAGGAGTGGACAAGGTCCTCTCTGCAGCAGAGGGCGGCCTGAGGCACAGTCTCCCTTTACGGGGTCAGCAATGGGGACAACCCTGTCCCCTGGGCCAGCCTCAGGCAGGACCCCAGGAGAGGCAGACAGCATCATGGAGGACCCTGGCTGCTCCTGGCCACGGGAGGGGGTGGAAGGGACTCAAGCAGGTGAGGAGGGAGAGGACAGGAGGGACACAAGTCCCCTGGGGCCCCGGGACCCAGCTTCTGTCATAGCCACCCCCACCCCCACCCCTGGCTCTGGTTCATGGCGGCATACCAAGCTGGAGCTCCCCACCACTCGTCCCCTCTGCTCCAGCAGCACATCTCTGAGGTTCAGGCCCCCAGGGGGTGACCTGAGCCCCTGGCCAGCAACGCCCTCTCTGGGCTCCCGGGCAGGGTTCAACCCAGGGCGGTCCGTCCTGTCGGAGCCCTTCCTGTCAGCCATCAGGCAGCCCCCGGCCTGGCCCCCCCACTCAGGGAACCCCAGGCACTGGGGGGCTGAGGGACCCTTCCCCTCGCTGGGGGCCGAGCCTCGGCTGACCTGGTGCTGCCTGAGCGTCAGGCTCCCCCTGCCCGCCGAGCAGAAGGAGAAAGTGTCGTCGCAGAAGGAGAAAGCGTCGTCCTCGGGCTCAGCCCCGAACCTCTCCAGGGGCGATCCCGGAGACAAGGGTCCCGAAGGACTGACAGTGACCAGCCTGGGAGACCCAGGGCCAGCACAGGTGTCCAAGGTAAGGCCCAGCATGGCTCAGGGCCCCAGGGGAGGTCTTGCCGTAGGAGCGGGGAGGGCAGCCAGTGCCCCCTGCAGCCCATGGACCCTTGTTTGGCTGAGGGGCACATGTGGGCAACCACATCTGTGACAGGGGCGATTCGAGGAAATCTGAACTGAACACGAAACACAAGCAGACCATCCGGAAATATTGGTGATGTTTGAAGTCAGAGTGAGGGACTTTTCGGTACTGGACACGATCCTTCCCGGAGGGTCCTGAGGGCAGCGGCAACAAGGGAAACGAAGCCCTGCTCAGAGAGGCTCCTGTGAGACCCTGAGTGAGACCCTAGGGCTCCTCCTTGGCAGCGAGACCCCAGGCAAAACGCATCTCTTGAAGGGATCATCCCGGGGCTTAGGGAGATGGGATCACTGAGCTTGGACCCTCTGAGGTTCCTGGGAGCAGATGCAAAAAGGGAAATGGGTGCATGCTCAAGGGAGGTGCAGGTGGCGAGTCCTCGGAGGGTGTAGATCTTATGGGGGTGGGGGTGGGCGGGGTCCGAGTCGCATGCCCCTGAGCAAGGACAGGACCTGGAGTTGGGGCCTGGCAGGATGTGGAGCAGGCTCTTCATCCGGGAGTGGGTGGTTCATAGACCGAGGGAGATGGAAGGAGGGGACCCCACCGCCCTGTCTCTCCTCCCTTCTCCAAAGGCACTTAGGAATCTGTAGTGGACCCCTGGGCCTGTGGAGTGGGAAGAGGAGAGAGGCAGGCTGTGGTGTTCCCTGGGACTCCACTTATCCCCAAGGAACTTTTCTTCCTTCGGGGAGCCCAAACCCAGGCAGAGTTCCAGGAAGTTCCACCCAGGAGCACGTGGCCGCTGCTGGATCAGAACCCCTCTGGGGCTCTGGCTGCTGCACTGTGTAGCATTTCTGTGGCCCCATTTCCCCCAGACAGGCTCCCTGTCTGTGGAGAGATCCACTCCCAGGCCAGGTTCTCCAGAGAAGCAAAAACAGCAGGACAAGAGGAGTCAGAATGTGCACAGCGTCACCATCATGGGACTCTCCTGGGCTGTGTCTCCTCTCGGGAACAGCGCAATGCCAATCTGCCTGGTTTCTTCAGCCCTCCTGCCCCACAGCTCCCGGGAGGATGACAGGGTCCCAGAACTGGGCACCTGAGCTCGGCCAGAGGAGCAGAGCGCCTCCTCGTGGGAGGGCGAAGATGCCCCGGGGAAGCTGCCGGCAGAGAAAACTGAGGTTCGACCCAAAGAGGTAAGTTTGCGTATGCCTTGATGA